CCCCGTCCACCATCCCTCTGGCCTCCACCCACCCGTCTCCACCTCCTGGGTGTGTCGATGCTTCCTTCTGCTTAAACCCAGCTCAGATGCGCCCCCATCCCCGGGAGGACCCGACCTCCTCCGGGCTTCCCAGGCTCCGAGACCCTCTTAGGGCCACGGGCATGCTGCACCGGCCTCCCCAGTTGGCCACCAGCGCCGGCAGGGCCACCCCCATGCCCAGCACGGCCCGGCCTGCAGCAGCCCAACCTCAGCCCTCTCCCCCGCCCCCTGCCTGTCCCTCGCCAGGGGAAGCTGCCGCTGACCTGGGTAGGCCAGGGCTGGAGCGGGGTGTGTCGGCTTTCGGGCCTTCCTCCGGGGGGCTGGCGTGGGGGCTTTGTAGAGACATGAGGCGCTGGCGGGTGCCGAGGTGCCCAGGGAGGTGCAGCTCGCCTGCCACCGTGCCTGGGCCCGGATCTTGTCCCTCAGCTGCTCCAGTCGGGGAGTGCTCTCCCTGGGCTGCTGCGGGGGCCCCAGCACCAGGAGGGTCCTCTCCTTCCAGGTCCCGTGGGGAGGCGTGCATGACTCATGGCCCCCCGAGGAGCCGGAGAGGCAGCCCGACGACACCGAGCTGTCCCCATCCTTGGCCTCCTCGTCTGTCAAACACACCAGGAGGCTGCAGGCCTTCCGCTGGGGGCCGGGCTCCTCAGGGTAGTCACACCAGGCCACGTGGGGAGATCCGCGCTGGGCGCCTGTCTGCTGGGAGGGCTCAGGCCAGCTCACAGCAGCCATGACTTCACCCTCAGCTGCAGGCACAGGGAGCCTGTCTTCCCTTGGGAGAGAGAGGCAGACACCGCCTGTCAGGTGCGGAGACGTGGTGGTGCTGAGCAAAACATCTCACGTGGACGCCCACTGTCTCCAGCGCCCTCCCACTCCCCATTTTCCTGTCTCAGACTGAGAAAGGTGGGAGATGCCAATAAAAAGTACCCCCCCCTCCGTTGGTGGCAGTGCTGCAACGTTCTCTCCTGGATCCCGACCGCACCCCTGTGAGGTGGGCACTACATTGGCCTCCCGCACGGGCTCTGGGGAAGGCACACGGCAGAGGCGATCCGGCCCAAGTCCTCACTGCTCACACCAGCTTGGCGGCGCTCCGGGAAGGCATGGCCACCTCCGCAGCAGTGCCTCCGCCCTTGTGTGCTGGCACACGCACCCAAGTCGGCACAAACACTACCTGGACTTGGCACTGGCCTTCCCAACGGCTGGTCTCCCTGGGGTCCCAAGGGAGAGAGGGCACTGCCTCTATCTATCTTTGGGGCGGGGCTGGATCATTTCCCCCGGGCAGGTGGGCGGCATCCCCATGACCAAGGATGACACGCGGCACGGCCCGGAGCAAGGGTGGAGCCAGTGAACCCCCATCACCACCTGCCCTGGGGTCAGAGGGTGCTTTCCCAGGGCAGCCCCATGGTCTGCAGCCCAGCATCCATCCTCACTCAAGGCAAGCTGGCTCCTGCCCAGCTCCCGATGCCCGTCTGTGCTGGTCCCCTGGTCCATGATGGAAACCCTAAGGACGGTTATGGAAACTGGGGGGGCACAGTGGGCTGCAGGGCCCTGGGCTGGCAAAAGCCTGGGGCCTTCCCAGTGTGCTGCCTCTCAGCACGGGGTGAGAATTCCGCACGGCCCTGTGACAGCATAATAACCCCGAGTCACTCAGTGACAGACAGCCAGGGCCTTCAGCTCCTGCTGGGGCTCCAGGCAGCACCCCACTCCAGTCCTCCCAGGGCGCTGGGGGTCAGGCTCGGCCTGGGCTGGAGTAGGGACGACGTGAGGGGCTGGGGGCGGGGATGGGCAGGGGCAGGGGTGGGCTCAGCTCCAGGCTGGTGGCCGGCTCAAGGTTCAGTTCCGGGTGGGGTCAGCCTGGGAGTCCGGGTGCAGGAGAGAGGAGCCAGCCTGGGCCACGTCCCCAGCAGATGGACGAGGGGCTGAGCGCTCTGGCCCTGACACTTCGGCTTGTGGGGACTGGTTGGGGGAAGCGGGCGCCGGCTTCCCGCTCTCCCTGGCACGAGCTCACTGCACCCTTTCGACCACAGAAATAGAGGCTGGAGAGGCCTGAGCGCCAGGAGAGCATCCCAACCTGTCCAACTCCAGTGGGCTTCCTGCCACCTGCTCGACCGCCCTGGCAGGGCGGTGCGGTGAGGGGGATGCGGCCTCTGCCATCTGCCGGCCCCGGGCTCAGCGTGGTGCCCCGAGGAGGAGGGCTGGAGGAGACGAGACGCCTCACCCCACCCTGCCTCTGGGTATTGTGAGGCTCTGGTGAGTTCACTCCCACAGGAGGGCCCTGCGGGGTGGCCCTCAGGGAGGGGCTGACATGGTTAGGGACACTCCTTCATTTTAGGAATTGCCCTAAAGGCACTCCTTCCAGAGCGGGGACCCAGAGAAAGGCGGGTCTGCAGCAAAGGACCCTCTAATTCCAGGCGGGCATGGAGAATGGAGAGCTGTCCTTGAGGCTCCTTCTAAAGGACCCGTCCTGGGAAACCGGGGACACCTGGAGACGCTGCCGTCTGGGCAGCGCGCAGGGCGGGGCTCTGGTCACTGCGACACAGCCCCACGTTTAGCGGCCAGCAAGAGGGCGAGTCGCCCCGGACAGACCCTGCCTGGAACGTGGGGTGTACCCTCCACCCCCGCGCAGCCTCCCCTGTAGTTGGGGCCGGGGTGAGGCAGGCACAGAGCCAGCAGGACCCCAGATCCAGCCTCCGGCTCCAGGGCCCTCAACCACACCTGGGGGCCCAGACAGACAACGTTACCTCTGCGGCCAGGTCCCCCTGCCAGCAGCACTGCCACCACCATCCGGCTCTGCTCCGTCCTCCTGGCCTGGAGCCCCGGCCTGCCTGGGCTCGCCCGCTCCACTGGGCACCTTGCTCGGCGAGGCTGAAAGGGAGCAGGTCCCACCCGTGTGTTTCTTTAGGATGTTTGCAAGCGGCTGGTGTCCCAGGTCGCTGACCTGGGGCCACACAGGAAGGCGGCCCCTGCCGGGAGAGCTGCAGGCAGCGGCGTGGGCTCCTGCGCTGTGCCGCACGCACGCACGCACGCACGCACGCACACGGGCCTGCGGAAGGCTTCCGCTCCCGTCGAGGGTGGGGCGACTTCATCAGCGATGACCAGGGCGTCCCCCACACGGCCACCAGAGCCTGGATAGGGGAGGGGACGCCCAAAGACAGCTCTGCCTCCTACGTTCACAAAGAGCCCCCGACCCCTGGGCAGAATCCCTGTGCCACCGTGGCAAGAGTGAAAGCCCACGCCCACCGCCCTGCGAAGAGACCCCGCCTGCGCTGCGGCCGCAGGGTCGTGCTCCCAGGCAGAGGCCTGGCCCCTTTACTGAAGGCCTTCCTCCCCGCCACACCCTCAGGCTCCCCGAGCAGTTGGGGTCCGGGGGGGTGTCCTCCCAGGGTCCGCTGGACTCGCCAGCCCTCTTCCCCTAAGGGCAGAGGGAAAGGGTCATTCGGAGCAGAAGCAGCAGGAGCTTAGACGCCGGAAGTTTCTCCTGACGGGAGGAACTGGTGGCCTCTGTTCCCTTTAGCAGGGACTAAGCTGCCCCGGGGGTCAAGGAGACCTACTCCTCCAGGAAGAAGCCGCGTCATAGACATGACGCGCCGTCAGTTTAAACCCTCTGCTAGCGATGAAAACAAAATCATGAAAACAAGTGCGTGGCGAACTTGAAAACAAACCCAACGGCCTCCCTGCCCAGGACCCCAGCTCCTGTCGCCCCTGCCCAGCTGCGGCGGCCACTGGGCTTGGCTCTGGGCTGCAGCTGGGTGGCCACGAGTGGCAGTGTGTAGCCCCCATGCAGGCTCGCCCACCTGGCAGCGCTGCAGCTGAGCCCAGAGCTGCAGGCCCCTGAGGCTGAGGCACCTCCGGCGGGTGTGGCACGCGCAGCTACCTGTCCTGACCCCCTCCCTGGCTTGTGCCGGCCTGATGCCACTCTGAGAAAGTCCCCTCACCCCCCGTGAGTGGGGCCCCGTCCCTCTGCCCCCCACGGGGTGGGGACCGCTGGGGGGTGGGGGTGGCCTGTGTGCAGATGCCTTTGGCTTCGGGAGCCCCCAGCACGGTCGGGGCGGGGGGGAGGCGTGGGGATCCCATCTCAGCTGTCCCGCCCACGGTCCTGTGGGAGGAGTCCAGCTCCCCTCCTCGGGTTCAGCCCCAGTCTAGTGTCCTGGGCCCGGCAGGGTCAGAAGCCGGGGGTCGGGGGTCTTCAGGGCCGGGAGAGACAGCACCCGTGGGTCCCCGGGGCCACGCCAAGCTTGGCCAGGTCTGAGAGGGGTCACAAGGGATGGGCTTCTCGGCTGGGAGGGGCTGTATGAAGAGCAAACCAAGCGGCCTGTGCCCCCCTGCCCGGCACGTGGTGGATGCAGAGGTAGAGCCCCGACTCCAGACATGCCAGGTGCCTGCCGGTGACCTCGGGCAGGTCATTCAGTTTGCTCATCAGGAAAGTGGGCGCAACAGTAGCCCCCACTTGTCAGGGTTCTTGAGAGGGTCAGGAGACACCTGGTACTCAGTGCCCCCTGGGTTGGGCACAGACTGAGAAATGAGAGCCGGGCACCTCTGTTCCCACCCTGCCCAGCCCAGGCCCCCATGACACACCTGCACCGTCAGGCCAGAGAGTGGTGACCCACCAGGGCAGCCGTTTCTGTCCCTCGCTGCCACCAGGGGCTCCCCCTGGCCTGGGGCCTGTCATGCCATCCACCGCACCCGCAGCCGGCTGCACCGTGAGAAGTGGCCGGGCTGGCTGGTGGGTCGGGTGGGGCAGCGGGTGGGGAGGGACTCCCGCCTCTGGACGCAGCCCTCGCTCTACTCTAAGCAGCCACACTGTTTACTCTCCCTTAGGACAGCCCTAGGACAGCCAGCCCTGAGCAGGCTTGAGCAGGCTGGGGACAGTTGGACCACCCTGCCCACAGCCTCCGGGGCCCCAGGGTCAGAAAGCACACAGGAGGCGGCAGCGACAACAGCTGGCACAGGCGTGGACGTTGGCATGGCACCTGACAGCCACCTGCCAGATGCAGCCCTGGGGAAGCAGCAGCCCCACGGGGGACACACCCACGCCAGCCCCGGCCACGCCGAGAGTCTCCAGCGGAGCAGACCTCACCCAGAAGCCACAAGTCAGCCGGGGCCCGAGGGGCACAGGGGCTCAGAGGCCAGAGGAAGCCGTCCCAAGGCTGACCCAGGCTCCGGGCACATCGAGGAAGTGATGTGCAGATGGCAAGGGCACCTGGGCACTTGCGCCCTGCTGCTCCGTGGCACACTCTTCCCCTTTGATACCTGTCTTGCACACACACACACACTACACACGACACACACAAATAACACATTACACACACACAGATACACCACACACACAGAAACACACAACATAACACACACACCACACACACACACACACACACACACACACACACACACACACACAGGCCCAGTATGTCCGCCAGGTAACCTGGCCCTGTCACCTTGCCCACTGTCACACAACGCAGAGCAGAGACCTGCCCTTGGCCCTGGCCCCTCAAATTAGGAGCACCTAGCAGCCCTGGGAAAGGAGCCTGGGGACATGACACACCCAGCATGGCTTTGCCCCCAGGAGGTCCCAAGTCCTCAGAGGGAGCCCTCAGACAGAAGACCGCTCCCAGGGTGGGCAGGGCGGAGGAGGGGTGACTGGTCTGCGCTCAGCCAAGCCCACGGCAGGAAGTGCCTGGGGAGGCCAGGCAGGGCTCAGGCAGAGACCCCAGAGGACTCACCCGCTGGAAGGCTCCAGGCCTCCCCGTCCGTGGGAGGGTGCGGGGCAGCAGCCATGGCTCAAAGGCCAGCGGCAAGCAGAGTTCAAGGACCCGGGTGCCCAGGCCTCCAGGTCCGGGGAGGTCAGGCAGGGAGAGGCCCGCCCCGACGTTGCCAAAGAAACCCCAGGGGTCCCTCTGACAGTGCGGGCTCCTCCTCCAGGCCGCTGGGAGCCTGCAGGACCTGTGCCAGGCGCCAGGGGCCTCACCTGCACCAATGTCCCACCCGGGCGGAGGTACACACATGGGGCACCCTCCCTACCGCACGAGGAGCTGCCCAGAGCCCCGCTCTCGCCCTCCTCCCCAGAACCCGCACCCCGCACCGGGGCTCTGGGGGCTGGAAGCAGGGGGCCTGGAGGTGGACGAGTGCCATCCCTTCTGACACAGGACGTGAGGCACGGGTCACTGGGACAGCTCACACCTCCAGAGCAGCCCTCCAGGCATGGATATCAGGTGGACGGTGTGTGTGTGGGGGGCAGGGGACGTGTGTGCAGGGATAGAGCGCCACGTGGTCCAGTTACACCGAACTCACAAACCGCAAAGCCCCTCGCATCCTCGGGGTCGGCGTGGCAGCCTCAGCCGAGTGACAGGAGGTGGCGCTTTCCCGTGGCTCTTACACTGGCTTTCCAACTAAGGGTGCTGGTGAGTGTGGGGAAGGGCGTGCTGTCCCTCCCGCCCCCTGTCCCCCCACATCCAGCTCCAACCACAGGCCTGCGGGGGAGGGGGGCAGGGTGGGTGCTCAGGGATCCTGGGGGCTGCCCAATAAACATCCGGTCTTCCCAGCTGCCGACTTAGCTGGCTATGGGGCCACACCGGCAGGTGGCGCCCCGTCCCCGTCATGGATGGGGAGCCAGCCCCCTACGGGGTTGCCAGGGGACTGTTCCACAGGCCTTTGCTGTTCCTGCTACCACCCCACCCCCGTAGTTATGTCCCTCTCCCAAAAAACACTAGAAAAACAGTCTTTTGCGAAGAAACTCCTCTTGGTGTTCAGGAAGTTCGGATTTAGGGACGGAGGCTCAGAGCGGGCTGGCCTCTTAAATACTCAGGGGTACGTCTGCCCCCCCGGAGGTGGTATGGGGGGAAGCAGGCCCTCGGTCCCTGGGGAGTTGCTGGATGCTGTCCTGGGAGAGCCAGGCACCTGGAAAGGTCACCTCGGACTGGAGCTGGACCCTCCAAGCAAGACCACACTGGAGGTGGCTGGGACCCTGGGCCAGAGGGTCCATAGGGAGCCGACCCCTGCGGTCGGCAGGTGTGGTGCTGGAGCTCTGCACCCCTGCCTGGGCCTGCCTCGGCCACCATGAGCCAGGAGGTATCTGGCACCTGAAGATGGATGGGCTCAGGTGTGTGCACAGGTTGGCTTTGCCCATCGATGTTGGAGAGATGGGGAGAATCCCCCTGGCCTGAGGGCTGGACACAGTGGCTGGAGCCTAAAAGAGCCAAGTTCCTCCCTCAGTTTCTGGAACATCCTCCCCACCCCAAGTCGACCAACAAAGTCCCCAACACTTCCAGGGGGCGGCAGCAGTGCATCTGCTGTCCAGACTCAGCCCCCAGGAGCTTGGCACCCCCCTGGGGGGTCCGGCTGTCTGGTCGCTGCCCTGAGTGGCCACACCAGCCTGTGCAGAACACCTCTCGCTGGAATTCTGAGATGCAGACTTCAGATCCAAAAAGCACCACAACTGGAAACACGTTAATTTTTTTCTTTGTTAAAAGGAAATGCATCAACGCGAACACTGAGACAACTTTCCTGGCCGCCGGGCCACCTCTTCAGTCCACGGGTTCCAGGTCTGAAAACTGGCTCAGCCAAAACCCACGCCAGGGACTGTGGCATTTCTATCGGGGCAGCCACCCTCTGCCTCTCAGTCATCCATCCTTAATTTACTCTGACAAATGTAAGAGGCCTTCCCCAGAGGCACCTGGGGTAGCTGCACTGGGAAAGGGAACGGCAGACATGGTACAGACATCAGGACACAGGGCCAGGGTTCACACTGATGCCCACAGAACCCCATCAGAGAGGCAGTTAACAGAGTTCTGTCCACGGTCCAGCTTAGAGCGGGTCCGCTGGGTCACAGACCCCTTGGTGGTCCCCTCCGCAGTCTGTGGATGTAGAATTCACAAACCCCACGTCAGATCCGTGGTCTGTGGGGTAAGAGCCATTGTTGTGATCATGGTGGGAAGGTTAAGGGTATGAAACATCTCCCCTCCATGGCCCAGAGAGTAAAGCAAAAACGGCATCACCTCCAGGGTAGGGGGATGGGGAGACGGGTGCCCTCCTGGAGGATCCGAAGGATGCAGGGGGGCTGGTCCCCAGCACACCTCCATTTCATTCTCCAGCGTAGTCCCTGCTGAAAGGGAGTAGGTCGTGGAGCCCGGCCACAGCCTCCAGGCAGGGTGACATGGCCCCAGGGATACGAGGCCCTGCGGTGTGGTGCAGCCTCCATCCCCTTCAGAGACAGACCGCCTTCTCTACGTGGGATGCACATGGCACCTACTGCAGGTCTGTCTGGGGCTGTGTCTGACTCCCTGCCCTGAGCCACAGGCATCACAGGGACCCAGCTTATCAGGGGCGCAATGCTGCTGTGCCGGCCGGACGAGGCGCGGGGTGACACGTGCTCTCCAGAGGGCAGCCTCCAGCGGCAGCAGATAGAACAGCCAGGACTCTGAAGGACTGCAAGGCCTGCCGCACCGTGAACATTCTAGAGGTCCAGGGGAGGGGGGCGTCTCCGGGCGTGCCCTCCAAGCAAAGGCCAGGTGGTTGCATCTTGCACCTCCCGCCGGTAACAGGGAAGCACCATGCCTGGCAAGCCTCTCGGGTTCTGGAGGCAGCACTGCCTGCATCTGTGATGGGCAAGGCTTGTGGGGTTGGGGGCAAGCCCAGAGGGAGGGAGAGTCATGGCCCAGGCCCTGGGCTCTGCGTGGAGGCCACACCATCGGAGGAAGAGTTTCACCCTGTTGTGGCCTGAATGTTTGTGTCCTTCCCAGATCCATATGTTGAGCCCTAAGGCCCCGTGTGGCTGTATTTGGAATAACGATGTAATTACCGTTAAATAAGGTCATGGGGAAGGGGGGCTGATCCGATAGGATTGGTGTCCTAATAAGAGGAAACACAAGAGAGCTTACGCTCTGTCTCCTGGCCCCCATGTGCACGCACAGAGGAAAGGCTACGTGAGGACACAGCGAGAAGGTGGCCATCTGCAAGCCCAAAATTCCTCACCAGGAACCAAATCTGCTGGTGCCTTGATCTTGGATGTCCAGCCTCCAGGCCTGTGAGAAATAAATGTCTGTTGTTTAAGCTGTCCAGTTTTGTTACCCAGCTTGAGCTGACTAAGAGACATGCCTACTGGGCCCTGAGACAGACGCCCGGCCAGGCTCCAGACATGACATGGCAGGGGCTGCCCACCACAAGCTGGGCCCAATCGGGCCACCGGGTCACAAAGGGGCTTTTTGATGGTTCACAGTGTCTCCTTGCCCTAATTCTGAGCTTTGACCAGCCTTGCAGGGGCCCTGGGGCCTGGGGCCCTGTATCTGCGGAGGGAGGCCCCGGCACCCGCCCCCCCCCCTTTAAAGTAGCTAATGAAAGGTTGAAAGAAGAGCAGTTTGTTTTTCAAGTAGGTAATGGTGATTTTGGCCTCTCAGTTAAAGTCATACTGAATAGTCTTTTGTTGTGTGCAGACTGAGAGATTTCTAGCTCCCCCCCCCCCCCCCCCCCTTCCTTCCTGCTGCCTCCCTGCTCAGCTGCCCAGGGCGAGACACAGCTCTATTGGGAAACGTCCATGCTCCCGCCCTGGGAGATTCGCGGTCTGAAGGAGGGAAGGCAGTGCCAGCCACAGGGAGGGGCAGGAGGGTCAGGTACTCTCCCGACTGGGGGCTCTCTAGGGCCTCACGCGCTTTGCTCCATCAAGGCTGCCGTTCCTGTACACCTCAGCCATCGCCCCTGGATTAATTAGGACCACAGACACACAGGCCCCACACCCAGGGCAACCTGAAAGCCATGCACGGCCTCAGGGTTCAGCATCCCCAGGGTCCTGCCCTCTCCCCAAGGGACTGACCAGATGACTTGGAAATTAGGGAAAGGACCCACTATCCTTGTCCCAGGGCAACTGTGAAGGATCAACCCATGAAAATGGCCCGTACCACCCTGCCCTTTGTAACCCTGGGCTGAGGCCACACAGGCCTGGGAGAGGAGGCTGCTGGCAGAGCAGAAGGGCCAGGAGAGGGCACTGAGGAGGAAACGGGGTTTCCATGGCAACCGTCAGCTGTCTAGGCTGGGGACCACGTGGCAGAGAGGCTCAGGGAAGAGACCCCCGTGGGTGTGTGGGCCAGGCTGGCAGGAGTGTGGTCCCACTCTCCTGCTCTCCTTTCACTTCATCGCTGCTGGACGGATAGATGGACATTGCTCAGCGACCCCACTGAGGCAGGCAGCTACCCCAGCTGCTGTGCGCCTGCTTTGTGCCTCACGCCTCTGGGGAGGCAAGTCCAGACGTGGGCCGGCGGGGAAGGGCAAGGGGTGCATAACACCTCTTGAGAAGCCCTGTGGTAGGGCTTCCAGGGCCCAGGGTGCCCTGAACAGCTGGCCGCCTCCCCACTCTGCCCAGAGTCCCGTACCCCCAGGCCTTCCCAACACTTTTTCCCGGTGCAGGGCACCCCCGAGCTCAGCACCCTGCCTTTTGCCTTCCCTGCCTTCCCTGCCCTCCCCCCCTCCCCGGGAAGTGGCCGCACGTCCCCTGAGTGCCCTCCGTCCCCTCGATACAGCTCTGCACTCCTGCAGCTCCAGCCCAGACTTGGGGGCGGCATGTTCCCCCTCCAGGCCTGCCTGGGGGTGACGGTGTCTGAGGGTTGGGGGACGGGGCCTCGCCTCGTCCACACCTGGCGGGGGGCAGGGTCTTCAGGCAGGTGTGGGGGGCTCCCGCAGGGATGAGTGGGTGTCCCGGGGACCAGGTGTCCTCCAGGCTCTGTGACCACACCCCCGGTGGGGCAGGTGATGAGCATCCAGTGCTCAGGGGCCAAGGCTAGGGGCAATGAGATTGAGGGGAGGGGCGCTGAAGGGTGGAGGCCCCTGCTGCAGGGCCCAGGGCTCAGGGACCTTCCTCAAGTTCCAGCTGTTTTTCCAGGTTCCCAGCCAGCAGGCCTGCCCCTGTCCCTCAGCCTGGTGGCCCCAGAGGCACCTGGGCTCCCTCTGGCCTTGCTGTCAAATGGAGCACCTGTCCCAGAGGGGCAGGCAAACTCCCGGCCCATCGGTCCCACCCACGAGTCTCATGTCTGCTGTGCTCCAGGGCTACGCCAAGGGCTTCGCAGGCATAGACCTCATTCACCGGGCTCCCATTTGAGAGAGAACAGAGAGGCCCAGAGAAGGGCTGGGGCCCCAGTTCGTGAGTAGCCCTGCTGTGTCCCAAGCCCCACACTTGCCCTACGCTCTAGATGAGCGGGGGCGTCTAAATGCAGAGAGGATTTGTCATCAGTCAGTGAGCAACTGTGTGTCAGCCCCATGCCAGGAGTTTCAGCGATCCCAGCTGGGCCTTGCCCACCTGGAGCACACAGGTGCTCTGCCCAGCCTCCTGCCCACGAGTAAGGACCTGGTACATAGCAGTGACACGTCTATAAGGTGACTGTCACACAGCCTCCACCCCCAGTTGTGTCTGTGATGTCCAGGTAATGCTCACAATACAATGTTAATGGGCAGGGACCTCCCTGGCGGTCCGGCGGTTAAGACTCTGCGCTTCACTGCAGGGGGCGCAGCTTGATCCCCGGTCAGGGGAACTGAGGTCCTGCATGCTGTGCAGCTGCGGCCAAAAAAAAATTTTTTTTAATGTTAATTGGGAGCAGAAGAGGCTACAAAACCACCTGTGATCCAAGTCATGTAGCAACACTTGTCAGTGCCTACTGAGAACTGGCTGTAGTGGGGTGAATGGTGGTCCCCAAAGAGACATCCACCTACAATGGTAAGTGCGACCTCATTTGGGAAAAAGGGTGATTGCAAATGAAATGAAATTAAGGCTCTCGAGATGAGATCATCCCCAATTAGGGTGGGTCCTAAGTCCGAAGCAAGTCCTTTCAGGAGGAGAGAAAACAGACTGAGAGGAGAGACACAGGGGAAGAGGGGAGAGCTCACGAAGACAGAGGCAGAGATGGGAGTGATTTGGCCACAAGCCACGGGACACCTGGAGCCCCAGAAGTTGCAAGAGGCGGGAAGGACTCCTGCTGGACCCTCCAGACAGAGCGGGACCCCACCAGCACCTAGATTCTTCTGGCTTCCAGAGCTGAGAGAGAACAAATTCTGTCATTTTAAGCCATCCAGTTGTGGTCATTTGTTACAGCAGCCCTAGGAGACTAAAACAGAGACCCACGCCCCATCAGGTAGTTTAACCAGAACTTACTGTGCCTTCTGTCACAGTCCCAATGGGTCCAGCCTCCCAGCGAGCCTGGGAGGTAAGTATCAGAGAGACAGAACTTGCCTGGGTTGAAATGTGAACCCAGGCATCTGGCTCTTAACCACAGCATGGCCTGGCTTCTCTCCCCAGAGGGTCTGGGCCCACGATCCATCATCACACTCCTGGAATGGGGAGCTGCCAGTGGGCAGAGAACCCCCAAAAGGGAGAAACCCACTGCATTTCCTGTTTGCCTGGGGGGCTTCCTAGTATTTATTTGGATCAGCAGATTTGCCTTCCTAATTCTGTTTGGTTTAGGCTGTTGTTAAAAGGTTCCCTCTCGGGCTTCCCTGGTGGCGCAGTGGTTAGGAGTCCGCCTGCCGATGCGGGGGACGCGGGTTCGCGCCCTGGTCCGGGAGGATCCCACGTGCCGCGGAGAGGCTGGGCCCGGGAGCCATGGCCGCTGAGCCTGCGCGTCCGGAGGCTGTGCTCTGCCACGGGAGAGGCCGCAACGGTGAGAGGCCCGCGTACCGCAAAAAAAAAAAAAAAAAAAAAAAAGGTTCTGTCTCCCACCCCACACCCAAGGCCTGGGGGGCTTGGAGCCATCCCAGGAACCTGGAGCCCAAATACACTCTCTCCTTCTCTGTCTGTCTCTCCCTCTCTCTGTGTCTGTCTCTCTCCCTCTCTCCAGCACTCACAGGCCTGGGGGCACAGACAGGCAGGGGCAGGGGTTTCCATCACACAGGCCAAGGACGAGCCCCGCCATGGACAAGTGAGCGCGGGTCTGCTTCATGGGCACCTGCTTCCTCCCCACAGGCCCTGGGGGCGTAAACTGG